TAAAATCAAGAGGTTAAGTTCTGGGCCTCCCTGACAAGAGGACGAGTAATGACTTGGGATGGAAGGCAGTCAATAAGCACAATATATTTGTTTTCCTTGGCAGACATCTGTCCGAAAAGCCTTCTGTCTGGTTTTAGAAGTATTTACGAAGAGTTGTATCTGTCGCAACTCAAGTCCCTGTGCAGTTATTGTATGAATTATCTAGAAGCGTTCCTCTTTGCAAGTATAACAAAGGAAATTATTGGCAGGTTTTTTGTGTTTCAAAAGTTCATACTGCTGAGACTTATGAAAGGAATGACAAATGAGATTTTAAGCACATAGAATAGATCTTTGACTTCTGAAATGTAATTCATCCCTTTTTTCTTTTTTTCCAGATCAGTTCAAATTTCAGTAGTATTATTGCAGAAAAGCTGCGGTGCAATACACTGCCTGACACAGGAAGACGGAAACCCCAGGTGAATCAGAAGGATAACTTTTGGCTGGTGACAGCACGTTCTCAGAGTGCCATAAACAACTGGTTCACAGATCTGGCTGGAACTAAGCCCCTCACTCATCTCGCTAAGAAGGTATGTTACAGGAGAGGCTGCCTGGCAGGGCAGAACATTTCATCTATATGCTTGTTTCTGAAGTGTTTGTATAGTAGAAGATTTTTACTATTTGAGAGGTTTCTTCTCTATATACTTGTTGAAGCTTTCAGCCTGAAGAGCATAACCAGGATTTGTAGTGCACTGACTGTAGTTGTCCCCACCAAAGACTGGTCCCTCATCTGTTGTTTGGAGGTTGTGTTCAACTTTGCCTTTTGGCTTGTATGATACAACTGGTTTATTTTAAGGCTTGAATGTTTTTCAGAAGAGTTGCCACTGTTGCCTTTGGTCTGTTGTTTAGATTAAGACCATTTCTATTGTGGAGGGGTTTTCAAGTTCTCAAAAGTCAGTGTGAGAATTACTGGAAATTGTCAGCTGAGTGACTTCCCAGACTTCTGTTGCAGCGACACATATTTCTGGTTTTCAGCTGAGAAGAGTATGTGTATTACGGCTTGATCTCAGCCAGGCTAGAGCATTTCTGTTCCCTGGGTCTAGGGCTAGATATTTCCCTGGTAGCATTGAATTCTGTAGAGTATGAAAGAAGGGTCTTATTCTGCCATTTTACTGGGCCCAGTAGCAAGGAGAACTAACTCTATCAGAGGGGGCCTGTAAACAAGGAACTTGGGAATCTTGTATGCGTGGTGGAAAAACATAATGCCCAGTTGCAAAACGGTGGCAGTGCACAGTTTAGAAGCTGGAGTTTATCTGGTCTTTGGTGTTCTGGGTCACACTTGGGGGGAAGTAAACAGATTTTCCCAGAATCTGTCTCTTTATAAAGTTAGTCCTTGTATCCTTTGCACATTGGCTGTGAGTTTCCTGAGGATATTGTGAAAGCTTGAACCTTTCAAGGCCTTCCCCAATTTCCTGCAATGGGCTCTGTCAGTTTTCTCGGACTTAGACATGAAAGCAGCAACTGTCAGTAGCGAAGTAGTCTGTGTCTTTGAGACATCAGAGAATAATTTTGAAGAATGTAAGAAATGTAGCAAGTAAGCAGTTGAACTGTTGGTAGTTCGGGGACTTTGAGATACCTACCAAACAGACCTGTTCTCTGTGAATTTGTCTCGTTTCTCTGTGAACACATGCATACTTTTGCTCTCTATAGTATCCTGTGGAAATGAGCCCCACAGCTGTACTTTTTTCTGTGATGTGTTACTGCTTCCTGGTGTATAGATCTCCAGTCTGATGATTTCACTGGTATCCTCCTATGTAGTATCTTGAATTTTGAATCTTGGTATTAATTAATTCCTTCCTCTTACGGTACTCAGTTCCCCGTTTCTCACAGTCTTCTGCTGGCTACTCACGTTATTACAATGTTTTTGTAATTGCTGTGTTTTGTTTACAAAATAAAAAACCCTATCTTCAGTCTGTATGTGTTTCTGACTCTGTATCTTTTGTAGTTGTTTATATTTTATCTAGAGCTTATCCTCGAAGCTGTGTGCAGGATTCAGGGTGTGGATTTACAGTGATGTAATTTATGTTTTCTGCCTTCTTTTAATTTTTGTTTCTCTTTGTAGTGAAATGCAGCTCTGGTACTGTTGCTTTCTGACCAGAGGTGAATTCTTGCAGTAGGTTTTTTGAGATAGAAAGTAACACAGTACCTTTTCCCTTTTTACGTTTTTCACAGTTTGCAGAGCCTACAGTGTGTGTAGATGGGAATTATTCCAAAGCAACTAAGTTCTTGGTGGCAATTCTTCTCAATTCTGTTACAGGTGCCCATCTTTAGCAAGAAGGAAGAGGTCTTTGGTTATTTGGCGAAGTACACTGTTCCAGTAATGAGAGCAGCCTGGCTCATCAAAATGACTTGTGCCTATTATGCTGCCATCACGGAAACCAAGGTGAAAAAGCGTCATGTCATTGATCCTTTCATTGGTAAGCACTTTGTGTGGAGCACTGGTTTTGTCCATCCCAGATGTTTCCTTCTCGGGCTGCTCTTGAATATTAAGAGGTACCCTAGAAATCCATATAGACTTGTTTCCTGCTGATAAGTCATAGTGCTCTGATGTGCGTAACTGCCTAAAACAACAGGGCCCACCTGTGGGAGTACACTGTTGAAAAATAAGTCTTGTCAGCCACAAATACTTCCTGAGAGCCTACTTCTTCTTTCTCCCCATTAAGTTCTGCTGTGCTCTTCTGCTGTATAACCTGTTTTTTTCTTACCCTACAAAGACTGTAAACGTTATAATTTAGTGATGACTAATTAGCTTCTTCTCAAGTGCGTAAGTATGTTTCCCAGAGAATTCCAGTCTGTTACTCCCCTGTTTGTGTTTCCACTTTCATTAAGTCTTACTGGATCCCATATCTAATACCCTTTGCATCCTGGCCTGCTCCAGATTACTGTGGTCTAGGAGAGCTCCCATGGCTGTTTTCTCTTTTGTATGGCTGTACTACAGGACCTGACTACACTCATTTGAAAAGCAGTATTAGCAGTTGAGGTCTATGGTTAGTTGGGGTTTTTTTTCCTTCGTTTATCTTTGGTATAAAAATTACACAGGCTCTGTTTCTGAAGGTTGATTGGTTTGTAGATATATTTATTCCGTTTACTTTGCTGTTCCTTTGGGTGTTTGTCCTACTGCTGACCCTGTAAGTGGTGTTTTGTTTCAAGTGTTTGCATATTTTGCCTTGGCTTTTGCCATCTGCATTGTCCCAGAGGAGTGAAATTGTGCTGTCACTTTGTGTATTGAATTTGTCTCTTACACAGTTAGGTTTTGGTAAAAGCAATTATTTTTAAAAATTACTGATCATGGCTTTACACTGGTATCTGAAAGAGATTAAGAACAAGTTCAGAGTTGAAGTGTTTCTAGTGTTTCTGCTGTCTGTCAGATTATTGAGGATGCTAAACCAGGCTGGCCAGATCCTGCTTCCTGCTGGAAAACCTCTTCTCTCCACCTGCTGATTCTCAACAATGGCAGCTGAGGAATCTTTCTTCCCAACTTTTCTTGTAATTCTGCATCCCAAACAGAAGTTTTTCCCCTTGTTCCCTGTTTCTGTGGATGCCTCTTCCTTCCTACCACCTCCAAGCCATGAGCAGAGCTAATATCATGGCACTTACTTTTCTTTCTTTGTCTTTCTGGTCTTTTCAAATGACAGG